AAACACGTCTGAAATGGACTTCAAAGCGAAGGGACACTTCAAGGGCAAACTTATACTGTATTATTCACTACAGTGAAAACCAACAAAGAAAAATAGCAACTCAATTATTTACACCAAAGAATGGCCGGGGATTTTATGGTGTGGTGGATGCCACAAGTTTACCAGGTCTTTGATGATCAGAGTGGTGAAAGAGGGGGATGGACGGTCCTCCTCATTACTCACTTCGCTGCATTATAAATCCTCCTGTCCCATGCAGGAGGACAGCATATTGATGTTTTGAAGAGAAATATAGTGGCTCTCGGGCTTTTGCTCTGGTTGATTTGTGGCATTGTGGTGTAGAAGAAGATAAAACTCAGACTCACAGTGTTCTCACTGTTGCCTGGTTTGTTTGTATCAGAGCACAACAGTAGTTGCAGTAGAGGGTATTGTGATGGCGGCTTTTGCTTACGCAGGCTTTGAAGTGACGTCTGCAGTGAAGGGTTGACTGTCATCTCTGTAAATTGTTCTTACAGTAAGTCCCAAGCCTCAGCCAGCGAAGAAATTTGTCCAATCCGAGAGGAGAAACGGTCTCTAAACTGCTGCGGCGTTCAATTCTGTCCCTCATCTCAGCAGTCAAATGACGTGAGCAAAATCTGAAAGTGTCAAAACAAACTATAATCCAAACGGACTTCTGGAAATCTAAATAAACAACGTTGTTTGTGATTGAAAGCTGAAAAAAGCCCAACAAGAACTCAACATCTGTTAAAACGCCCCCCTGCTGAATCCACTTGCTTTGAGGAATCGGTTAAAAGTTAAAAGGAGCTCTGCTAAGTCAGACAAACAATATTTGTTTTAAACGTCTGTTTTCACACCTTAAATTTGGTTTCTATTACCTGCCATCTCAGTGATACAGTCTGCAGTGACGGTATTTTCTGACACGGAATTATACTGTGGTGAAATAAAGACTGGCTTGTGCGTCTAAGTGAGTAACATACACTATGGAAAGCTGTAAAGAAGGCCACCGGTGCATCGGTCTGTATACGATTGGTTGCACTCATTAAGTCTGATCGTTATTCGTCGTGTTATTAGATCTGAATTCCTGTCAAATTGAACAGCTCATCTACGTTTGGAAAGGAAAGAACATGGTGAATGCTCATGTCAATCATACAGCAAAACCCAATATGACGATCATTCATTCAGCACAGAATGACAAACACTGCGTAAGCGGAACATAGTTGACCACTTAGCAAACCTACACAAATAATAGACTTTCCAAGTGCAGGTTAAATAAGAAATGCAGGTTTGTGGATGATGATGAAGACCAGGGCCAGTGTTTTTTAGGCAAACCACCATATTGCCGCCTTGGACATCCTCGCAGTGGAAACTTATGGCACGGGGTGCACCGTGGCAGCTCATTGTAGTCATGGTCACAGTGGGGGTGAGTTATGGAAAAAGTTCCTTCAAAATTCATTTTGGAAAGCTAATTGTTAAAATAGAAGAGTTTGAATACTTTTAATGTAAATGAAGACATCTTGACAGTTTTCAAGTCCTTTTGTTATACTTACTCTTACTTACTCAAAATCTAATTTTTGTTGTATTTAACACTCAGGTCAATACATTTGCGGTGGAGAATAGTATATGAATGAGCAGAGAGTAAAAAAGAGCTGGTGCCAGTGGTATCAACTGCCTGGGATTAACAGAACAGAGGAGAGAAAAAGGAAAGCCTGCTGGGGGAACACATAACTCCACTGTGTGTCCCAATGCTGAGAGAGGAAGGGAGAAAAAAAACGATAAAATGCAATATTCTCTTTGGAATTAATTCACTGTCTCTCCTCCAAGAGCATCTAATTTAGTGTTGCTTGCCTTCCTCACTGGCTCAATCTGCCCCTCGCTCCCTCTGTCTCCTGTATTTTCTTCATCCATCTCCTTTAGTATCTCGCTGTTTCCTTCCTGCTCCGCGCCTCCTTTCCGCCAACGCCACCATCACCCTTCTAACCACTGTCTCGTTCCCTTTGCCGTCTCTCTTATTCTCCTACTTTCCCTGCCTTGGGCCTTTGTGAGGCTGCCTTTGTGGCGAGTGCAGAGAGAAAGCGGGAGACCTTGAACAAGGCTCGAGCAGTCTGATTGGGAAGGAGAGCGCGAGAACCTGGAGACGCGAGAGAGCCGGAGCGAGTTTATATGAAAAACCTCTTCTCTCCCCCTGTGAGAGACAGAGGGGATGAGAAGGAGGGCGTATAGAAACACAGACAGGCAATGAGGGTGAAAGTGATTAGCCCCTTATCCACTGTTTTAAAGAGGTTGACCTCATTAAAATGGTGGTTATGGAAACGCTGTGGGCACGCTAGATTATAAAGCCTCATGCTATTAGTACGGTCCTACTCTGAATTCGTAGAGTTTTCACCCATTAAGTTTTGATTTCGGATAACTTCCTAAAAGGTCCTACACCCCCACCCCCCCCCCTTTATTGGGTGAATAATATCTTAGTGCGACTCATCGTGCTGATTATTGCAGGATGAGAAATGCCAGCCACTCCTCTCCACAACCCTGACTTTCGCCGGACACAAAAACGCGGCGCCCGTGTTGGCGGCTGAAATAAAAGCAGCCGCAAATGAGTAAAAAATTAAAAGGTCACTGAGTTTTCCACCCCGCTGCTCATCCTAAGTGGCTCCCCGCGGCCCAAATGAGGATGGATGTGGGCCGAAGAGGATTCACCGGTCCGAGCTCAGCCTCTGCACAAGGGCAGAGGAGGCAGGAAGAGCGGAGTTAGGAGGAGGGCTGGCTGTGGCGAGATTTTGGCAGAGGATTTACACAACACCAGTTGTACGAGCAGTGTTCAGTGTGCAGACTGGCAGCAGAGATGGGAAGAGGTCAGGGAGCCTGCACGGATTCACCAGCAAGCCTCCGTGATTCCTCTGTGATCATCTCCTCTGTCTCTCTCCGTCTGGCACACATGCCACTGAAGGATAATGAGGACTTTTGTGTCAGTTTTATAGTTGTATTTGCACTCAATACAAACTAAAATATGTTGTGTTAATCTGATTTAAAGAGTAAATCCTTATCAGACTCCAAGCAAAATGTAATTCAGGTGAAATAACAGCATAATGTTTAAACAATGGGGGGTGCTGAGTAAGAATAGAGGGCACCGTCTCATTGAGACGATAGTAGACACTTTGGAACTGCAGATGATTTATAGGTCTTGACCAAGTGCATACAATTATAAGACTCTATCTACATTAAACTGCAAGACACTTGATATCTTTCATGATTCATGAAGAGGAGCTCGGAAACATCTCAAGGTCAGACTGATAACTATGAGATGTTGGATGATGACGTCAGCTTAAAATTGAGCCGGCGCCCCGCTGTTTTTTCAGTTCTAAAATGATAAACTAAAGGGAAATAAGCATTAAGGAGTCAACAGTGGATGATATCCCTTATAAATGATGCTTTCCCCCAAACAACCAATTGCTTAACATTTAAAAATGTTCTACAGAAGAGGAGAACATTTGTCCTAACCAACACAGTAAACACTTCTAACGCTCGCTTTTTGCCATCAAATGCTATGCTTAAGAGTTAAGTGAGAGCCCAATAAATGAGCAAAATAACATTGGGAACATTTGTGCTATTTAGTCATTTATTATTTTAGTCAACAAACAAAGGTCAATTAGTGTAAATTTGGATTTGCTAAAGTGAAATTGTCTGATTTATTTAGCTCCAAGTTTCCTCAAACTAAATAGGTTGCCTTAAATATCATACATGGGACATGAATCTGTTTTGTGCACATTGGATTGCAAAACAATCTAATTTCGACGATGCTTCTGTGAGTTAGCAGTTTACATACTAGTTCTTACGAATCAAAGGATTTATGAGATTCTATGTAGGTCATCAAGAACAACCGTTTCAGTTTTCCGATTATGTGTAATTTCACTAAGTAGGTGAAGTAAAAAAAAATGTTTTGGACATGCGATGGCTAAAATGGCGATGTCATGGAATCCATGTGAAGCACTCTTAACCTTTTAATATCCTTGAAATTGAAGTGACTTGCATGTTTATTACACACTCTTAGGTGTTTTCCTGGAGCAACAGACAATGTTATAATGATATAATATATACATAATATTAGAGGATGTCCACATATTATACACATTATGTGTAGCTTTTGTTAAGCAACTCATTGTATGAAACATTTTAATTATTGCCTAATTTAATCTTTTGCTTGAGAACGCCCTTTAGCGCTGGACCCACATATAAAGGCTTTCCACAGAGAAGATACTTGAAACAACTTTATCCAATTTACTGGGACTTGAAGAGTAAGCCATGTGGAGTGGAAAAAAAGAGGTTAAGGGAAGGCAAAGGCATCTGATTTAAAGCCTGAAACCCGGCAGTCTTTTTGGAGCTGCCCTTTAGGAAGAAAGGAGGAGAGGAGAGCCTCAGTCGGTTTACTGTGATTGACCATCAGGCGTTTGGAGCCAAACGGGGGGGACTGTCCTTGAAGCTGTGTCAATTTACACCGCGTAGCCCGGATGAAGAGAGATTGCACCTTCAGAATAATAGCTTAACTTTTTTTTAATTTTCCAAAAGTAACCCAGACAAAAAAAAATCGTTACGTCAGCCATTTAAGGACACATCACTATCTTACGTAAACCTTCACAGTGCACGTCAATTAATGTGAAACAGACTGCATGGAAATACAGAGAAATATTGGCTATAACGCGTGATGTGTTATAGCCAAACTCTTCTTTGTGTTACCAATGGGGAATATTTTGAATCCAAATGAAATGAATTGTGTGGTTTTATTTTAAAGGTCTAGTCCGGAAGTGGAGATTTACGCAGCTCGGGGAGGCTTGATGTCGGATGAGCAGCGGGCGCACACGCCGCCGTCTTCACCACGTCGCTCCACTGCGGTAAGAGCGCAGACGGCAGCGGAGAGAGAAAGAGGGAGAGAGAGAGAGGGAGAGAGAGAGAGAGAGAGAGAGAGAGAGAGAGAGAGAGAGAGAGAGAGAGAGAGAAAGAGAGAGTGGGGGGAGGACCAGGCAGCCACAGTTTACTTGTTCCGGGCTCGTGGGGGGGAAACAAACCCAGGTGTCGAGCTTGTCTCTCCGCTGACTTTAACACAGGTGGACTTCATCTGAGAGGACACGGACCAACAGACCACAGGTCCCACCACACAGCGAGAGCGCAGGAGACACAACTTTCGGGCTATTCCTCCGTGATTTCTTTTTTTTTTTTTTTAAACACCACACCTGTGTAACCTTGGGAGTCAGCGCAGTTTCACAGTGAGAGGATGGGACCGCTCCTGCTTTCCATCGCCCTGTGCTTGGGAGCCGCTGTCCCGCAGCATGTGATGGGTGAGTTGGAAAGTGACTGGCTGCCATTAGCCGTCTCCAAACATTTAGCGTTTTGTTGTTGTTGTTGTTGCGTAGGAGTAACCCCCAAAACTGAGCAATCGGAGCGTCTTCATGTTTCCATCCGGTTATTTCAAAGAGGGAGGCCCACGTCCATAGCTGAGCGAAATGTAACGTGCGTGTGTGGAGAGTGTGTGTGGTTTTGCGTAATACCAGCAGCCTTTCAGCTGGGTTTGGCACCGTTCTTAGTCCCTGCACGGCTCGCTATGGTTATTTGCTTGGATTACGTTGTTGGGGACACTTGTTTGAGTCGATCAAACAGACTAATTAATGGGGTTTTTCCCCGTGCGTAATTTCTGTTTGACAAAAAGGGCGAACCAGGCGCGCGCATTCCAACGTAGCGCCGTATACATCGCTCCATCATTTTGTGCGCCCTCGAAGTGATCCTCCTCAAGACGTGTATTCGCTCCTGCGTGCTCCTCTCCGGGAATAAAACCCGTGCGTCCAGATATAAAGCCCTATAGTTGGGGGAAAAAAATAAATTACGTACATTCTTCGTCCGTAACAGTAACGGATAAATGGAAAGACTTCTCTAGACAACGTGGGCTGTGGGCAGACAAATGCTTTCGCTCGGTGGGGATGTGCTGGATACAGAAAGCCTTCTGTAATAGTTGGATCACGGCACTATTATTGACTTTCGGAAGAGAGAAGAGTCAGTTGTGCCTTCTAATGTAGAATTTGGCCCAAAAACGGTCAGACTGCGTTATGTCGAATGGAAATTGCTGTAAGCTTATTCACCCTGACCCACTGGATCAGCATTCAAATGATTCGCCCCCCCCCCCCCAACCCCCCACTCCCTTGGCCCTCCATTTCTGGGGATAGGAATATTTAAGCTTTGGCCCTTGCTGCATATTTCCCATGAACAGTACAGAACCCGGGGGAGTTGTGTAAATGAAGCGGCGTACACCCCTTACGGAAGTGGGTCATGCCATCCCTCCTGTCGCTATTCATTTAGCAACATGCTTGCCTCAGGAGTCCCACATGTCAAACAGACCGCAGACTCCATAGCAGCAGTGTGCCGTAAGCAGAGTTCCTAAGGTTATTGCAGTGTCAACCCAGAACCAGTTGCTACAAGACATGACACTCCCCGGTAGGCTGCCATAATAGAGGCAGAAGAAAAGCAGGGAGTTTTAAGGCCTCGGGTGCTACTTGTTTCAAGGCTCAATGATTAATTTGGAACAAAAAACCTGAAGTTGTCCCTCAATGAATCACTCATCATCCAAGTTGAATTGGTTGTGTTGCAGAAGTGTTTTTTTGTCCATTTGTTTCCTGTAACCTCATTCACACACAGAGCTGGTTTAAGGAGGACATGGAGGTGGATGGAGGGTCTAAACAGTACGCGATCTGTCTGTGTGCATCTTTACAGTCCTTCTCGGTCACCCTGTTTTAACAACGCAACTGCTCCAGACTGGCTCCAAAAGTCCAGCGGCATTCAAACTCCCCGTCATAAGGAGTGCAGGAGTGTGGCGGTTGGAAATCTCTTTTACCGGAGCTATGTTATACTTTCCCTTTTGTGGTTGCAGGTGTCTTTTTGGAGAAAGCTGCTAAGAAACACTCTATTCGGGGTGTCACAGGGTTCCTCTTTCCACTAAAACAATTTGATGTGGTAGAAAAATGCGCCTTCAGGTAAAACAGGCTGTATTGTTCCAAGTCTGTGTGCAATACATCCCTTCCTGTGGTTGGTTACTGGTGCTGACTCTCACACATTGTTTGTGATCAAGCCTGTCCGCCTGGACACAAAGCACCCCACAGCCCCAATGGGCCCTCTGCATGTAAGATGCTTTTGTTCTTGTTTAGATAGTCAGTTTTAATGCATTTTAATTTTAGTCTCAGTCTTGTTTTATGGCCTCGCAGTCCCAGCCTTTTAAGCAAATGAACAGACATCTGGAGAGGGGGGGGGGGGGGGGGGTGCAACTGTCCGCTATCTGGTGAATCGCGATTAGTGTTTATATTTTTTGGTCACTGTTCATTTCCCTCACCTAACACAGTTTAACACAGTGCACGGATATGAAATCACCGTGCTGTGAGAATGGTTATGGCTTTAGATCGGCCTGATCGGTCGCTCAACAACAGTAGATTTAGGTCAGTTTTCCAACCAGATGGAAAGAGCGACAGAAGGCTTCTTCTTTGTTAGCAGGAATGGCATCTGGTACATTTGGATAAACAAAAGACCTAGCTCGAGGTTTTTGAGTTGGATGGAAATTGTTGTCTGGCTGTAACTTAATTCTGTGTTTGGTATCTCGTGGTTTGACAGCAAAGTGCAGAGTAACTCACTTACCTTTTCCTCTGACGCATTATTTTACTACACGTTATGCATGGTGGGATATCATTTATAGAGTCACATGATGTATTCACCACTGCAAATGTACAACCTCAGAAGCAATCCATTTCGTTCATGGTTTAGTCAAACAAACAAAGGAATCTGTCTTAAGACAGAAATCATGAAGTTTTGAAAAAAATGCTTCTCAAATGATTTGCTGCCTTTCTTTATCTCACCGAACTGAAAATCATATTTTTGCCTTTGAGACTGTCTGTTGAATAAAACAAGCAATCTGAATATATTATTGCATGCAGATGATAGTGATCCATCTAAAAGCTCATTAAATGTACTGGCTAGTGGCCACTGAAGATTACGGTGGACGTAAAGGTGACTTTTAGTAACAATGACAGGCAACCTCCATCTACAGTGCCCTTCGCTCTGGTTTTAAAGGGCACAGTCTTCAATCAGTCGAGAGGTCAGACCTCTCAGATCATCCGACATGATAACCCACGGGATAAAAGCAACTTATTGGCTAACAATATGCACACAAGGGAATAAAATATGTGTTATCAAAACGTAAGAAACAATCTTTAAAAAAAAAACTGCTGGCTGCTGATTTTTATTTTTAATGGAATTTGACTGCTATTTATACTCGGTCCAAATCTAATTTAATTCCATTTGACTTCTCTGATCACAAGTTTAAAGGATAGAGTCTTTGTCTCTGTTGTTCCTGCGCTTCTGTTGTCCTGCCTACATTTTATGTTCAATGTATTTGGAGCGTACTGGAGTGATGGTCACATGGACGTATGCATATGCAAGTGCTAACCAAATAACTTTAAACTGGCCCCTGAGATAAGGGAAGCCCAAGCTTTTAGTCAGAAATGACTGTGATAGAGTCAACACAAGATGTTCGTTTAAGCTGTGCTTTAGCCCAGTACTAGATTTTCAAGATGGCTTGAGGCTTAACAGCTCTGCATTTGTACATCAAGGCAGTGAAAAGAAATAATGTGAAAAAGAAAAACACAATAATCAGCAGAAAAACATCCTCTTTTCACACAAGACTACCGTTTTCTCCTAATCATTAAATCCATGTCTCATGTCTCCATTCACAAAACTCTTATAAACCTTGGATCTGAATTTTTCCCCGACAACTTCATAGTGTAACATCCGCTAGAAGCAGCATGTTACACTATGATGCCAAGGAAGTCTTTAAATTCTATAAAAAAGAATCCCTTCAAATTAGTAAATATATTACATGCATGTTTTGGTTTGTACAGTAGGGTGATTTCATGTTGAGTTCAGGCCTACTTCACTTTTTAAGCTAGATCTCGAAGGAGCACATCCTTTGAGAAATCACCACATGCTAGTTTTAATTAATCCCACTGGATCACAATTCATGACTCAACCTTTGGTGGCACAAGCTGGCGCACACTGCAGGCTCACAATGTGTGGCACAAACCCCATAAAACATTGCACATAATAATGAAGTCCCATCATGTTGTGTTTGAAATGGACTGCGACATATTGTCTGGGATTTTCCTCTGTTGACCAAATAAAAAATATATATTACATTGATAAAAATGCCTTCCAAAGCCATCCAGATAGAACACATTTAGCCTGAAGTACATAATGTCATTTTATGGTAGAATTGGCTTAAATTGTTGTTAAAACAAATCATTTTTAACATGCCACATGCAGCAGATACAGGTGCAATATAATATAATAATATATAATAATAATACTGTGGCTAACCACACTGTTGAAATTATATATGGATGAACAGGGGAAGATGAGGATCCTAGTTTAATGTGATGTCGCAGTTGCCTTTTAAACATTGCATTAAACAGTATTTACAGAAATCCATCTTGATAGCCGGAGGTATTCGGTAATAGAAACCACATTTGTAGTCATTCACATAAACTTGCTTCTGGCTGTGACTTCAAAAAAATGGCTGCTCCTTTTTTCATATTGTTATATTATATAATTGTATACATTTCACATAATTTGTGCCATCTTATACTGAGTATAATTACTGACCAACTCAATTATTTTGTTTTAAACACAAACGTGGCTTCGCGTTTAACAAAGTGTCGATACTGCAATGACTTCATTACATTTTTCGCAATAACTAGCAGTATACTTATATACTTTGTAACAAAGCTTTATGCTTTTATATTTAAGGTGATCTGGTTGCTTTGTGCTAATTGCATTAGAAAAGTTACTTTCAACTTCTCCATCATCCACACAGCCGGGGTTTATTTACCCGTACTCAACCGAAATACAACATATTATCAAATAGGATATACTTGTGTACTTGCCTGTGTTTGTTTGTGTGTGTATGTAGAGAGCTCCCCCACTTCGTCCTTTCCCCACTGATTGGTTAGCTTTGTTAGCCGGGTTAACAACCACTTCGGCTCAGGTTCGCTCGCTCCTTCATGGTGGGTTCGCCTTTGAGATAAAAAAAGCCCATCCTGGAAGGGACCACTAGTGCCCCCCCAGGGCTTTTCTGCCAGTGCAAAGCACTAGATGGACATAAACCTTTACCCAACACTGGATTTGACATTACTCTATTCTCTCTCACACTACTGAAGGAAAGGAACAAAGTAAACGTAGGTAGACTACACAGTAATATGTTACTTTGAAATTAAATAATTGATATATTATATTAAATATTGACAGTGAC